CTCTCATGCCACTGGTTGCCTTTCTCATGTCGCTGTTTACTTCTCCCATATCTCTGCTTACCTCTCTCATTTCGCCTTTTACCTCTCTCATTTCGCTGTTTACATCTCTCATGTCGCTGGTTACCTCTCTCAAGTCGCTGGTTACCTCGTTCATGTCCCTGGTTACGTCTCTCATGTCGCTGTTTACCTCTCTCATGTCACTGGTTACCTCTCTCAGGTCGCTGTTTACTTCTCTCACGTCGCTGGTTACCGCTCTCATGTCCCTGTTTTCATCTCTCATATTGCTGGTTAGCTCTCTCATCTTGCTGGTTACCTTTTCATGTCTCTGTTTGCCTCTCTTATGTCGCTGTTTACCTCGCATGTTGCTGTTTACCTCTCTCATATGGCTGGTTACATCTCTCATGTCGAGATTTCCCCTCTCATATCGCTGGTAACCTCTTTCATATTGCTGGTTACCTCTGTCACGTCGCTGTTTACCTCTGTCATATCGCTTGTTACCTCTCTCATGTCGCTGGTTTCCTCTCTTCTGCCGCTTGTCACCACTCGCTGCTTACCTGTCTCATGTCGCAATTTTCCTCTCTCACATCGCTGGTTACTTCTCTCATCTCGCTAGTTACCTCTCTCATGTCGCTGGTTACCTTTCTCATGTCGCTATTTACCACTAGGGGAACTGGTTGTTAGAAACAGAAAGGTTCAGTTTATTGATGAAGCAAAGGCATTACATAGGAAGAGAGGGATGAGCTAGGAAGGGAAGGTTGGAAGGGAAAGGGGGGTTAGGACCAATCACAAGGGAGGGAGGATCCTTCCAAATGTGGTTGACCACTAGTTGGAGGTGGTCCAAGTGTGGTGTACCACCAGTGGTTTAGCCAACCCACTTGTGGTGCCCCCACAATTGTGGTCCTTGTGTTTGGGGGCTCCAACCACAATTGGGTTGGATTGACACCCCAACACAGGTGTACACCCAACTAGGAATGTAAACACAATATACACAACTAGCATAGCATGGTATATTCTAACACAACCCCATAGCATGCAAAGCTAGTGTATATATAGGGTACAACCCCAGAATCAGGAAGGGGGGCGGGGCCCAAGGCCGAGAAGGCGGAGGAGGGCAGAGTGCGCGGTCTTCGGGAGGGCCTTGGTGAAGATGTCGGCCAAGTTGGCCTCTGCAGCGATCTTGCGGACCACCAAGTGACCTTGCTGGACCAACTCTCGAACGAAGAAGTAGCGGAGTTCAATGTGCTTGGAGCGGCCATGGAAGACAGGGTCCTTTGTGAGATGGATGGTGCTGGCGTTGTCGCACCAGAGGGTGGGACAGCGCTGAGGAGCACCGATCTCAGCAAGGAGGAAGGTGAGCCAGCGAGCCTCCTGAGCGGCCATGGTGCAAGCATAGAGCTCAGCCTCGCAGGATGAGAGGGCGATGGAGGAGGAGCGAGTGGAGCGCCAGCTGATGAGGCCGCTGCCAAGGGTGAAGCCGTAGCCTTGAGAGGAGCGGCAATCCGGCTGGGAGTCAGCCCAGGAGGAGTCACTGAAGCCAGAGAGGAGGGGAGGAGAAGAGCCTCCGAGGGTGAGGACATAGTCCTTGGTACCACGGAGGTAGCGGAGGACCCGCTTCGCTGCAGCCCAGTGCTCATCAGTGTGGCGACCGGTACCGACGAATCGAGCAAGAACACTGATGGGGTAGGCAAGGTCGGGGCGGGTGCACATCATAGCGTACATCAGCGAGCCGACGAGCTCAGCATAAGGATGGTCAGAGGAGGAGGAGCAGGAGGAGGGGCAAGCTGGTGCTCGGTCTGCCCGGGAGCGGTAACCGGCTTGGCCTGCGCCATGTCGAACCGCTGCAAGACTTGGTCGATGTAGAAGGACTGAGGGAGGGTAATGGTGCGCGATGTGCGGTCCCGGGTGATGGTCATGCCCAGATAGTGCTTGAGCTCACCCAGGTCCTTGCACTTGAGGCGCGCATGCAGGGCGTCCTTCACTTGCTGCATGGCGGCACCATCGTCAGCGAACAGGATCATGTCGTCGACATACACCAGGATGAAGAAGCGGGTGGGAGAGGAGCGAAGGAAAAGGCTGGCATCAGACTGAGAGGCATGGAACCCCAAGGACTGCAGAGTGGCGGCCAGCTTGTTGTGCCACTCGCGAGGAGCCTGCTTGAGGCCATAAACCGGGCGGCGCAGCTCCCAGACTGTGTTGGCAGGGAAGGCTGCATGAAAGCCTGGAGGCCGCCGCAAGAGGACCCGCTCCTGGAGCTCGCCTTGCAGGAAGGCGTTGGAGACATCCATGGAGGCAATCTCCATGCCAATGCGAACAGCATAGTCGAGGATGGCACGGAGAGTTGGGAGCTTGGCAGTGGGAGAGAATGTCTCCCAGTAGTCGATGCCATGGGTTTGGGTGAAGCCCTTGGCACAATACCGGGCCTTGTAGACCGGCTTCTCAACCGGCAGCTGCTTCTCTCGGAACACCCACAGGCCTTCAACAATGACGTCGTCAGGAGAGGGGACAATGTCAATGAATGAGGCATTGCGGATGAAGGCCTCGCATTCAGCAAACATAGCCTGGATCCACTTGGCAGCATCGGGGCAGGTGATGGCCTCAAGGAAGTTGGACGGGGTGAATCTGGTGGGAGCGGTAGCGATCCCAAGGATGAGGAGGCCAAGGAAGCCCGGGTAGAGAGGCGTGAGGGAAGGTGTTTGTTGCTGAACGCCAATGAGCTCCTCATGGGAGTCCTCGATGAAGGGAAGGGAGGGTGGGGGTGGTGTTGGCCAACCCCATGGATGGCCTATGAGTGGGCCGTGAGAGTGAGTGTGGATGCGTTGGAGGATGAACGGAGAGGTGGTGCGGCGATGCCGATAAGGTTGCTGCAGTGGCTGCTGCTGCTGCTGCTGCTGCTGCTGTGGCCGTGCTGGTGCTGCTGCTGCACCTCCTGCTGCGGCTGCTGTTGCTGCACTGCCTGCGATTGCTGCAGCTGCTGCTGCTGCTGCTCCATCCCGCTGCTGCTGCTGCACCTGCGCTGCTGCTGTTGCTGCTGCTGCTGCTGCTGCACCTGCTGCTGCTGCGCTGGTGCTGGTGCGATGAGGCAGAGTGAGCAGGGGAGTCAGGGACAGCTGGGTCGTAAATGTCACCTGAGGAAGGAGGAGGGGGAGGAGCAGGATTTGGAGGAAGGAGGGGAGCCTGGGGAAGGAGTGGGGGAATGACAGTATCAGCCCAGGTGAGGGGGCGGGAGAGAGGAGGAAGGGGGTCGGAAGGCGGAACAGAATGATAGAACGGGATGCTCTCATCGAACACCACGTCACGGCTCTGTAGGAGGCGGCCTGAGGACGGGTGAAGGAAGAGGTAACCAGGGACAGAGCGAGCGTGGCCAAGGTAGACACACTCAATGGCCTTGGAGGCAAGCTTTCCTCCCTGCCGAGAGCGGTCAGATGGGGGGATGAGGCCATATGCCTTGCAACCCCAGATACGGAGAATGGCAGCATCTGGCTTGGTGCTAGCCCAGAGCTCAGTGGGAGTGACAGACTGGCGTTGAGGATGTGGGTAAAGATTAGTAAGGAGAGCAGCATGGACAAGGGCATAGCCCCAAAGAGAAGGGGGCGTGGAGGCATGAGTGAGGAGGCAGCGGGCCGTCTTGGTGATCTCACGAATGCGACTCTCAGCAACACCGTTCTGCTGAGGGGAGTGGGGAAGGGTATGAGTCTGCTGGATGCCATGGGTTGAGCAGTAGGAGGAGAGGGTGCGGTTGAGAAACTCACCACCGCCGTCGGAATGGAGGCGGCGGATGGGGCGACCAAAGTGGACTCGGCACTGCTCGGCCCAGGTAACGATGACAGCAGGGGCCTCGGCCTTTACGAAGTGTGGAAAGTTCATATGACGAAGGCGATGGTGGATGAGAACAGCGGGGTGGGACAGTGCGCGACAAGAGCATGGGGGGGAGGTGGAGTTGGAGGAAGGTGGCTCTAGAGGGAGGGGAGGGGGGAGAGTGGAGGTGCCTGCACGAGTGGTCACGTGGCATGAGGAGGGGCGCGGTGTGCTGAGGATGTACTGACGAGAGCGAGGACAAAGTGGGAGGCGATGAAGGAGGCGACGAGTGGGGCCGTGGAGGAGGTCATAGTAGCTGGCAGAGGCGGGGAAGAGGGTAGTGATGCCAGCCTGTTGTAGTTCACGGATGGAGAGCAGGTTATGACGAAGGGAGGGAATGTGGAGACCAGTGACCACTCCAGAGGGGAAGGGGGGGCAGGGGAGGGTGGAGAGATGAGTGCAAGGGATGGAGAAGCTGGAATCAGCGCCATCAACGTTGGTGGGGAAAGGGAGGGAGGTGAGGGTGCCGGCGTCTTTGAGGGCAGTTTCAGTGGCACCACTATCGAGAACAAAGTCTATCGTGGGCGAGGAGGGAGCTGAAGATATGGGGTACTGGAAATCACTGGCATTAAAAACAGAGGGATACATGGAAGTGGAAGCAGGGGAAGAACGCATGAGCTCGCCTAGAAAGCTGGAGTGGGAGGTGGGAGCACTAGGGGAAGGAGAGCCCCAAAGGGGAAAGCCAGGAGGACCTGTTGTGGCTGTGGCAGCCATGGCGGCGGTGCCAAAGCCAAGCTGCTGCTGCTGCCATGCAGATGCTGCGGCTGCGGCTCCTGCAGCTGCGGCTGCAGCCTGACCACCAGAGCCCCACTGCTGCTGCTGCTGCAGCAGCTGCAGCTGCTGGAAGCGGCGAAACTGCTGCAGCTCCTGTGGAGTTATGGGGTCAGCGACAGAGGAGGAGGAGGAGGAGAGCTGAAGATCAGAGGGGAGGAAAGACGGAAGATTTTTTACATCCTGGAGAGAGGGGCGGGGATCCATGGCAGACCAGCGTGGGGGTGTGCCAGTGTTGCCGCGCTCGAACCAGGCGTCATCATACGCTTTGAAGCAGGTCGTTGGGGGATGGTTGGTTTGGGTGCAGCGCTCACCCGCCCTGGGACCAAAACGGCGAAGATAGGAACATTGGGGGAGAGTGCCAGGGCGGCCACCACGGCTACCAGATGAGCCACCACTGCCACCACCACCACCACTGCTGCCACCCTCGACCCCGCAACCACCGCCGCCGGCTCCGTTGCCCCCACAACCGCCACCTCCACCCCCTCCCTGAGGGTTGGTGCGGCCGCCACGTGGGCGCCCTCCACGACGCGGCTGTGCAACAGCAAGCTGGGGGTTTGGGGACTCGGTGGAGTTTCAAGCCGGAGGGGGGGGTTGAGAGAAGGCGGGCCTCAGCGTCAATGATCCACTGGACCACAGTGTCAAGGGAGGCGCGGGGCTGAGCCTCAGTGAAGGCGATGACGCGCACTTCATATTGAGGGGAGAGGCCTTCGAGGAGACGGTAGATCTGAAGGTTGGGGGGGAGAGTAGTCTGGGGAGCCTCAAGGCGGGAGGCAAGGTCCAGGAGACGGCTGGTGTAGTCAACGGTGCCAGCACTATGTTCGTTCGTGATGCTAAAGTATTCCTTGAAGAGCGGTCCGACAGCGTCGAAGTCGGTGCGTTCGAACATTGCCTCAAGCTCGAGCCAGATCTGGCGGGAGCCGATGCGACGTGCCTGGAAGTTGCGCATGAGCGCAGACGGGATGGCAAGGAGAAGGGCACCAGTAGCACGGCTGTCCGCCTCGAGCCAGGCGCGACGACGCTCGGCAAATCGCGCAGAGTCAGCGGCATAAGCGGCGGCGGTAGCGGCATGCTGGGTGCGGAGGGTTGCCGACCGCTCGTGTTCCTCCAACGCGATCAGGTAATCAGTATGGAGCACGAAGAACTCACGACGCTGAGTAACGAAGAGCTGCTCAACTTCAGCGGTGGCAGCGCGAGTGCTGGTGCCAACGGGTACCATGGGGGGCGGAGGTTCATCGCCGGGATGGGGAATGAGAGGGGGGGGATCGCCAGGGTGAGGCGGCGGGTCCCCAAGGTCACCCTCTGGGAGACCAAGCATGATGTCCAGGAGGCGGAACGGCAGGACATAAGCACTGCCGAGGACGCGGTGGAGGCTGCCGACGAAGGAATACCAGTTGGTTGCTGAGTTGTCGGCAGCGCGCACGACATGATCGAGGGTCGAGACGTCAACGGGAAGGGGAAAGGATGCCATTGGTGACACGGAGTGGGAGGAAGGCGACGGCGGGTGGACCCGCGGTGGCTGGGAGGGAGCGGCGGCGGGTGGACCCGCGGCGGCTCAAAGAGGAGGGGAGGATGGGGATGGCTGTAGATACTGCTGCTGCTGCTGCTGCTGCTGCTGCTGCTGCTGCTGCTGATGCTGCTGCTGCTGCTGCTGCTGCTGCTGCTGCTGCTGCTGCTGCTGCTCCTTCTGCTTCTGTTGCTGCTGCTGTTGCTGTTGCTGCTGCTGCCGCTGCTGCTGCTGCCACTGCTGCTGCTGCCGCTGTCGCTGCTGCTGCTGCTGCTGCTCCTTCAGCTGCTGCTGCTGCGGCTGCTGCTGCTGCTGCTGCTGAGTCTGCTGCTCCTTCTGGTGCTGCTGCTGCTTCTGCTGCTGCTGCTACGGCTGCAGCAGTGGTAAGGCGGCGATGAGCAGGTGCAGGTGAGGAGGCAAAAGATGGGGAAAGATGGCAGTTAGCTGCTGAAAATAGGACTTGGTAGAAATTTCAGTAGCACTTCGTGATCACATCCAGGAAAGTCTGCAAACTTCGGAAAGCGATATCTGACAATCCAAGCGATGCTGTTTACCTCTCTAATGTCGCTGGTTACCTCTCTTATGTCGCTGTTTACCTCTCTCATGTCGCTGGTTACCGCTCTCATGTCGCTGTTTACATCTCTCATGTTGCTGGTTAGCTCTCTCATCTTGCTGGTTACCTCTATCATGTCTCTGTTTACCTCTCTCATGTCGATGTTTACCCCTCTCATCTCACTGGTAACCTCTCTCATATTGCTGGTTTCCTCTTTCATATCGCTGGTTACCTCTCTCACGTCGCTGTTTACCTCTCTCATGTGCCTGTTTACCTCTCTCATATCGCTGTACCTCTCTCATGTCACTGGTTACATCTCTCATGTTGCTAGTTACCTCTCTCATGTCGATGTTTACTTCACTCTTATCGCTGTTTCCCTCTCTCATGTCGCTGGTTACCTATCTCTTGTTCCTGTTTACCTGTCTCATATCGTTGTTTGCCTCTCTCATTTCGCTGGTTAGCTCTCTTATTTTGCTTGTTACGTCTCTCATGTCACTGGTTATGTCTCTCATGCCACTGGTTGCCTCTCTCATGTCGCTGTTTACTTCTCTCATATCGCTGTTTACCTATCTCATTTCGTCTTTTACCTCTCTCATGTCACTGTTTACCTCTTTTATTTTACTGTTTACCTCTCTCATATCACTGGTTACCTCTCTCATGTTACAGGTTACGTCTCTCATGTCGCTGGTTACCTCTCTCAAGTCGCTGGTTACCTCTTTAATGTCCCTGGTTACGTCTCTCATGTCGCTGTTTACCTCTCTCATGTCACTAGTTACCTCTCTCATGTCGCTGGTTTCCTCTCTTCTGCCGCTTGTCACCACTCGCTGCTTACCTATCTCATGTCGCAATTTTCCTCTCTCACGTCGCTGGTTACCTCTCTCATCTCGCTAAATACCTCTCTCATGTCGCTATTTACCTCTCACATGTTGTGGGTTGCCACTCTCATGTCTCTGTTTACCTCTCTCCTGTTGCTGTTTCTCTCTCTCATGTCGATGGTTACCTCTCTCATGTCACTGGTTACGTCTCTCATGTCACTGGTTACCACTCTCATGTCGCTGTTTACCTCTCTCATGTCGCTGGTTACCTCTCTCATGTCGCTGGTTACCTCTCTCATATCGCTGTTTATGTCTTTCATGTTGCTGTTTACCTCTCTCATAACGCTGTTTACCTCTTTCTATCGCTGGTTACCTCTCTCATGTTGCTCGTTACCTTTCTCATTTCGCTGCTATCTCTCTCATGTCGCTTGTTACCTCTCTCATATCGCTGGTTACCTTTCTCATGTTGCTGTTTACCTCTCTCATGTCGTTGTTTACCTCTCTCATGTCGCTGGTTACCACTCTCATGTCGATGGTTACCTCTCTCATGTCACTGGTTACGCATGTCGCTGGTTACCTCTCTCATGTCACTGGTTACCTGTCTCATGTCGCTGTTTACCTCTTTCATGTCGCTGGTTACCTGTCTCATGTTGCAGTTTACCTGTCCCATGTCGTTGGTTACCTCTTTCATGTCACTGGTTACCTCTCTCATGTCACTGGTTACCTCTCTCATGTCTCTCATATCGCTGATTTCCTCATATGTCGCTGTTTACTTCTCTCATATCGCTGGTTACCTCTCTCATGTCGCTGCTTACCACTCTGATAACGCTGTTTACCTCTTCCTATCGCTGGTTACCTCTCTCATGTCGCTCGTTACCTTTCTCATTTTGCTGTTACCTCTTTCATGTCGCTCGTTACCTCTCTCATTTCGCTGGTTACCTTTCTCTTGTCGCTGTTTACCTCTCTCATGTCGTTGTTTACCTCTCTCATCTCGCTGGTTACCTCTCTCATGTCGATGGTGACCTCTCTCATGTCACTTGTTACGTCTGTCATGTCAGTGGTTCCCTCTCTCATGTCGCTGTTTACCTCTCTCATGTCGCGGGTTACCTCTCTCATGTCGCTGGTTACCTCTCTCATGTCGCTTTTCCCTCTCTCATGTGCTGCTTACCTCTCTCATGTCGCTTTTTACCTCTCTCATGTCGCTGGTTACCTCTCTCATGTCGCTGGTTACCTCTTACATGTTCCTGGTTACCTCTCTCACGCCGCTGTTTACCTCTGTCATATCGCTGGTTACCTCTCTCATGTCGCTGGTTTCCTCTCTTTTGCCGCTTGTCACCACTATTAAGTCGCTGCTTACCTGTCTCATGTCGCAATTTTCCTCTCTCACATCGCTGGTTACCTCTCTCATCTCGCTAGTTACCTCTTTCATATCGCTGTTGCTGTTTCTCTCTCTCATGTCGATGTTACCTCTCATGTTGCTGTTTACCTCTCTCATGTCGTTGTTTACCTCTATTATGTTGCTGGTTACCTCTCTCATATTGCTGGTTATGTCTCTCATGTTGCTGGTTACGTCTCTCATGTCGCTGGTTACCTCTCTCATGTCGGTGGTTACCTCTCACATGTTGCTGGTTACCTCTCTTATGCCGCTAGTTACCTCTCTCATGTCGCTGTTTACCTCTCTCATGTCGCTGGTTACCTCTCTCATGTCGCTGGTTACCTCTCTCATGTTGCTGTTTACCACTCTCATGTCGCTGTTTACGTCTTTCATGTTGCTGTTTACCTCTCTTATAACGCTGTTTACCTCTTCCTATCGCTGGTTACCTCTCTCATGTTGCTCGTTACCTTTCTCATTTCGCTGTTACCTCTCTCATGTCGCTCGTTACCTCTCTCATTTCGCTGGGTACCTTTCTCCTGTCGCTGTTTACCTCTCTCATGTCGTTGTTTACCTCTCTTATCTCGCTGGTTACCTCTCTCATGTTGATGGTGACCTCTCTCATGTCACTGGTTACGTATGTCATGTCACTGGTTACCTCTCTGATGTCGCTGTTTACCTCTCTCATGTCGCTGGTTACCTCTCTCATATCGCTGGTTACCTCTCTCATGTCGCTTTTCCCTCTCTCATGTGCTGCTTACCTCTCTCATGTCACTTTTTACCTCTCTCATGTCGCTGGTTACCTCTCTCATGTCGCTGGTTACCTCTTACATGTTGCTGGTTACCTCTTTCACGTCGCTGTTTATCTCTGTCATATCGCTGGTTACCTCTCTCATGTCGCTGGTTTCCTCTCTTTTGCCGCTTGTCACCACTATTAAGTCGCTGCTTACCTGTCTCATGTCGAAATTTTCCTCTCTCACGTCGCTGGTTACTTCTCTCATGTCGCTGTTTACCTCTCTCATGTCGCTGGTTACCTTTCTGATGTCGCTATTTACCTCTCTCAGGGAACTGGTTACCTCTCTCATGTCGCTATTTACCTCTCACATATTGTGGGTTACCACTCTCATGTCTCTGTTTACCTCTCTCCTGTGTTTCTCTCTCATGTCAATGTTACCTCTCTCATGTTGCTGTTTACCTCTCTCATGTCGTTGTTTACCTCTCTTATGTTGCTGGTTACCTCTCTCATGTTGCTGGTTATGTCTTTCATGTTGCTGGTTACGTTTCTCATGTCGCTGTGTACTTCTCTCATGTCGCTGGTTACCTCTCTCATGTCTCTGGTTACTGTTAGAAATAGACTGCAAATACCACTTTTGTATTTGTACTTTTATATCCTAGTTTAGGTTATGAATGTTCTAGTGGGTTGGGGTGTACTCACAAATCCCAACCTCACCCAATTGTGATCCCCCAATCTCCAATTACCCAATTGGAGATTTCAGAAATCCCAATGGGGATTCCCTCCAATTCCCCTTCATCCTTTCACTCTCTCACCTTGCCATGTACTTAAAGAGCCTTGGGCTCCTTACCTAATCAATCATTTCAACCCTATTTCTTACAGTTACCTCTCACATATTGCTGGTTACCTCTCTTATGTCGCTAGTTACCTCTCTCATGTCGCTGTTTATCTCTCATGTCGCTGTTTACCTCTCTTATATCGCTGGTTACCTTTCTCATGTCGCTGGTTACCTCTCTCATGTCGCTGTTTACCACTCTCATGTCGCTGTTTACATCTTTCATTTTGCTGTTTACCTCTCTCATAACGCTGTTCACCTCTTCCTATCGCTGGTTACCTCTCACATGTCGCTCGTTACCTTTCTCATTTCGCTGTTACCTCTCTCATGTCGCTCGTTACCTATCTCATTTCGCTGGTTACCTTTCTCCTGTCGCTGTTTACCACTCTCATCTCGCTGGTTACCTCTCTCATGTCGACGGTTACCTCTCTCATGTCACTGGTTACGTTTGTCATGTAACTGGTTACCTTTCTCATGTCGCTGTTTACCTCTCTCATGTCGCTGGTTACCTCTCTCATCATGCTGGTTACCTCTCTCATATCGCTGTTTACCTCTCATGCCAGTGGTTACCCCTCTCATGTTGCTGTTTACCTGTCTCATATCGCTGGTTACCTCTCTCATTTCGCTGGTTACCTCTCACATGTTGCTGGTTACCTCTCTCATGTCGCTAGTTACCTCTCTCATCTCCCTGTTTACCTCTTCTGTCACTGTTTACCTCTCTCATGTCGCTGGTTACCTCTCTCATGTCGCTGGTTACCTCTCTCATGTCGCTGTTTACCTTTCATGTTGCTGTTTACCTTTCATGTTGCTGTTTACCTCTCTGATGTCGCTCGTTACCTTTCTCATTTCGCTGTTACCTCTCGCATGTCGCTCGATCCTCTCTCATGTTGCTGGTTACCTTTCTCATGTCGCTGTTTACCTCTCTCATGTCGTTGTTTACCTCTCTCATATCGCTGGTTACCTCTCTCATGTCGATGGTTACCTCTCTCATATCACTGGTTACGCCTCTCATGTTATTGGTTACCTCTCTGATGTCGCTGTTTACCTCTCTCATGTCGCTGGTTACCTCTCTTATGTCGCTGGTTACCTCTCTCATGTCGCTGGTTACCACTCTCATGTTGCTGTTTACCTCTCTCATAACGCTGTTTACCTCTTTCTATCGCTGGTTACCTCTCTCATGTTGCTCGTTACCTTTTCTCATTTCGCTGCTATCTCTCTCACGTCGCTCGTTACCTCTCTCATGTCGCTGGTTACCTTTCTCATGTCGTTGTTTACCTCTCTCATGTCGCTGGTTACCTCTCTCATGTCGATGGTTACCTCTCTCATGTCACTGGTTACGTCTCTCATATCGCTGTTTACCTTTTTCATGTCGCTGGTTACCTCTCATGTTGCAGTTTACCTGTCCCTTGTTGTTGGTTACCTCTGTGATGTCGCTGGTTACCTCTCCCATGTCACTGGTTACGTCTCTCATGTCGCTGGTTTCCTCACATGTTGCTGTTTACTTCTCTCATATCGCTGTTTACCTCTCTGATGTCGCTGGTTACGTCTCTCATGTTGCTGTTTACCTGTCTCATGTGATTGTTTACCCCTTTCATGTCGCTGGTTACCTTTCTCATCTCGCTAGTTACCTTTCTCATGTCGCTGGTTACCTTTCTCATGTCGCTATTTACCTCCCTCAGGGAACTGGTTACCTCTCTCATGTCGCTATTTACCTCTCATATGTTGTAGGTTACCACTCTCATGTCTCTGTTTACCTCTCTCCTTTTGCTGTTTCTCTCTCTTATGTCGATGTTACCTCTATCATGTTGCTGTTTACCTCTCTCATGTCGCTGGTTACCTCTCTCATGTCGCTGGTTACCTCTCTCATGTCGTTGTTTACCTCTCTAATATCACTGGTTACCTCTCTCATATCGCTGTTTACCTCTTTCATGTCACTGGTTACCTCTCTCATGTTGCAGTTTACCTGTCCCATGTCGTTGGTTACCTCTCTCATGTCGCTGGTTACCTCTCTCATGTCACTGGTTAGGTCTCTCATGTCGCTGGTTTCCTCTCATATCGCTGTTTACCTCTCTTATGTTGCTGGTTACGTCTCTGATGTTGCTGTTTACCTGTCGCATGTCATTGTTTACCCCTTTCATGTCGCTGGTTACCTCTCTTATCTCGCTTATTACCTCTCTCTTGTCGCTGGTTACCTTTCTCATGTCGCTATTTACCTCTCTCAGGGAACTGGTTACGCCTCTCATTTCGCTATTTACCTCTCACATGTTGTGGGTTACCAGTCTCATGTCTCTGTTTACCTCTCTCCTGTTGCTGTTTCTCTCTCTCATGTCGCTGGTTACCTCTCACAAGTCACTGGTTACAACTCTCATGTCACTGTTCCCTCTCTCATGTGCTGCTTTCCACTCTCATGTCGCTTTTTACCTCTCTCATGTCGCTGGTTACCTCACTCATGTCGCTGGTTACCTCTTACATGTCGCTAGTGCTGTTTACCACTCTCATGTCACTGTTTACGTCTTTCATGTTGCTGTTTACCTCTCTCATAATGCTGTTTACCTCTTCCTATCGCTGGTTACCTCTCTCATGTCGCTCGTTACCTTTCTCATTTCGCTGTTACCTCTCTTATGTCGCTCATTACCTCTCTCATGTCGCTGGTTACCTTTCTCATGTCGCTGTTTACCTCTCTCATATCGTTGTTTACCTCTCTCATGTCACTGGTTACGTCTCTCATATCACTGGTTACCTCTCTCATGTCGCTGTTTACGTCTCTCATGTCGCTGGTTACCTCTCTCATATCGCTGGTTACCTCTCTCATGCCACTGTTAATGTCTTTCATGTTGCTGTTTACCTTTCTCATAACGGTGTTTACCTCTTTTTATCGCTGGTTACCTCTCTCATGTTGCTCGTTACCTTTCTCATTTCGCTGCTATCTCTTTCATGTCGCTTGTTACCTCTTTCATGTCGCTGGTTACCTTTCTCATGTCGCTGTTTACCTCTCTCATGTCGCTGGTTACCTTTCCATGTCGCTATTTACCTCTCTCAGGGAACTGGTTACCTCTTTCATGTCGCTGGTTACCTTTCTCAATTCCCTGTTACCTCTCTCATGTTGTCGTTGCCTCTCTCCTGTCGCTGGTTACCTTTCTTCTCTCGCTGTTTACCTCTCTCATGACGTTGTTTACCTCTCTCATGTCGCTCGTTACCTCCCTCATGTCGCTGGATACCTTTCTCAAATCGCTGTTTACCTCTCTCATATCGTTGTTTACCTCTCTCATGTCGCTGTTTACCTCTCTCATGTTGCTATTTACCTCTCTCATCTTGCTGGTTACCTCTCTCATGTCATGTCGTTGTTTACCTCTCTCATGTCGCTGGTTACCACTCTCATGTAGCTGGTTACCTCTCTCATATCGCTGGTTACCTCTCTCATGTCACTGTTTACCCCTCTTATGTCGCTGGAGACCTGTCTCATGTCATTGTGTAACACCTTAATGTCGCTGATTACCTCTCTCATGTCACGGTCTACCTTTCTCATGTCGCTGTTTACATCTCTC